CCAAAGTTGCACATCATCACTTCTGGTTTTTTTCTACTAGCCCACACTAGAAGGAAGGCAAATTAAGGATTATATCTGAAGGGGAATATAAAAGAATGTATGAACATTTGTTGTTTCTTTTATTTATTTGAAGAGAGAAAGAGGAAAGAGAGAAAAAATATTTTACCTGTTACTCTACAAATGTCTGCCACAGCCAAGCCTGTGCTAGGCTGAAGTCAGGAGCCAGGAATTCTGTCTGAGTCTACCATGTGGGTGGTAGGGGCCCAAGTACTTGCATCAGCTGGTGCATCCGGAAGTGTACATGAACAGGAAGCTGAGTCCAGAGGGAGGCGATCTGTAACACACTATGGGCATGATTTCAAATGAATGTTCAAAACCTTGTTATTTTGTTTATTAAACTCATAAGTTGTTTTCTTCATAAAACACCTTTTATTAGGACATGATGTTGCTTTGCAATCTTGTTTAACACTTTAAATTCTTTCTCTGATATTAATATTTCCATTCTTGCTTCCTTTTGTTGCATTTATCTTGTTTTCAATCTCCTCTTATGTGCTTTTTGATGTGTATTTCTCACAAATATACCTCTTGATTTTTGTGCTTTAATACAGACTAGAGTTTTAATGGGCGCATTTCACCAATTCACATTCAGCACACAATGTGTATTTTACAATTTCTCTTCATATTTTGTCTTACTATTTATTTATTTATTTATTTAAAGGCAGATATATGGCAACAGCCAGAGCCAAGCCGATCCGAAGCCATGAGCCAGGTTCCGTACAGGTGCAGGGTCCCAGGACCTTGGGCCATCCTTGACTGCTTTCCCAGGCCACATGCAGGGAGCTGGATGGGAAGTGGAGCAGCTAGGATATGAACCAGAGTCCATATGGGATCCTGGCATATGCAAGACAAGGGTTTAGCCACTAGGCTATTGCACCGGGCCCTATTTCTTTTACTTTGTTTCACCCATTTTCTTTCTTTCTTTCTTTCTTTCTTTCTTTCTTTCTTTCTTTCTTTCTTTCTTTCTTTCTTTCTTTCTTTCTTTCTTTCTTTTTGTGGCTTTCTCTTTTATTGTTATTTTAGTTGAAATTTTCATTGTGTTTTTTCTTTCACTAATGGTTTTTTCATTTTTCTTTCCTATTGCTAACATTTTTAATAAAAATGGGTATGTGTATATTTCTCAAATAGTATAACTTTATTCTTCCATCATGATCCTATTCTTCCTAGTAAATTGCCTATTTTCACACTTTCCATATCTCACAGGCAGATAAGATTCATAGAGCATTTTACTTTTCTCCACCCCCTCACTTGCAAATTCTTGTTATTGTTCATGCCGTATATTTGCCTTAGAAATTATTAGATTTCCCTTTGTAATGTCTCTTTTATTTCTATAATACCTGCTTAGTACCTAAATGAAGGTTGCATGTTATCATACTGATCTATATTTCACTATACATTTCAAGCTTCATTTCATATCTGTAATTCCTTCCTCTTGATCTTTCCCTGGCTTGAGGACAAACTAGTACAGTTGTTATTTGATTCTTTTCTGAGTGCTTTCTCTATGGGGCGTGTGGGTACTGTCTTCTCTGGAGGTGGACTATGGGATTGCACAGACTTTGTATCGTTTGCTTCTGTGTTCCTTACACTAACAACTGTGCATGGTACATAACAGTCTGTATAGGTCTATTGTTTTTGTGGTGCTAGATTCCTACATATTTGCACAAGTTTTCCTAGAAGAACATTTATTTTATTACTGTCATTTACTTTTAAAACTTACACATTTGTTACTTACACATCTGCAAATATCTCTCATCAGAGACATTAAACATTTCTTGGTCAAGACAGGATTCCAGTTTCATTGTCCATTGGTAGATTTTCTTCTGCCAGCTCCTCACTCCCCCTACTGTAGATAACAAGTCTCATGCCGGGCTGATGCTTTTCCCTTTGTCATTTCCTTCTATCTTGCCTATTCTAAGGCTTAAAAAAGAAAAGAAAAGAAACCACATAATAGAGAATTTTCCCTGCATTAGTTTGGTATAGGTAGGAGTCATTTACTCTTTCAAATTTGAGATTGAAGTCTCTTTTTAACCTTAGAAAATTCCCTCTTTCATTTTCAAAATTACATCCTCTTTTCTATCAGCTCTCTTTTTCTGATTCTGGTTGAATTCTGGTCTTGTGCTCCTGCTTTATAATTTCCATCATTTTTGCTTTGTGCTGCATGTGAAAGATTTTTCTTCTGTTTCTCTTGCAGGTCTGTAATATATTTCCTAATCATTCTTTATTTTAGTTGGCTTTAATCTCAGATTTTAAATTTGAATGTCCTATTTTAAATGCCAAGAAGTATTAACTTTTTTTTAATTTCCCCTAGTTTTTAAAATAAAACTGTCCTTTGTCTCCTCCAGCATTGTTGTTCTGTAGGAGCCATATGCCTTAGCATATCTGATTGGTCTGCCCTTTTGTTGGCCAGATCCTCTTAAGTGCTCGCTTATTTCTGTTTTCTATTTCTGCTTAAGCTAGTGTAAGTATCTCCAGAGTTGGAGGCATGACATTTTCTACTCTAGCATCAAGAAGGTGAAGAAGTCTCTATGTTTCTAGGTGTGTATTGTTATTTTAAAATTTATTTGAGAGCAGAGAGAGCCCCCATTGACTGGTTCACTCCCAAATGCCTGCAAAGGCCAGGGATCCAAACTGGGAGCCAAGATTCAGTCCAGGTTCAGTGACATGGACTCAACTATTTGAACCATCATGTGCTGCTTCCCAGGGTCCACATGAGCAGGAAATTGGAAATGGGTGCCAGAGGTGGGAGTCAAACCTGGGCACTATGATGAGGGATGTGGGTATCCTATGCACTATCTCAGGAATGTAGAAATTCTTTTATACTTTTTCTAATAACATGTGCCATTCTGTCCCCTGCGCCTGCCCCACAGCCAGGATCACATACACATTCTGAGAAAGAGTCACCCTCTTAATCAAGATACTCAAGGGATCCCTTTGCCTACTTCTTCCATGTTCTCACTCCAGGGCTCTCAACTGCCATTCCTCTACCCTCCTTCAGAACTGGCCTTCTCAACAGAGGCTAGGGTATAGCATCTGATAGCCTTTGGTTTCTCCAGCATATTTACTCTAGCCAGCTGAAAGCTGCATGGAGGAAGAGTGTCACAGCTGCAGAATTCTTACCCTTTTCTTTAAGTTCAGATGAACAATAATCTATATTTTTGCAACTTTCTTACACCATTGAATTCCACTGTGAATGAGGTTGTGAATTAATATGTAAGAAAAAGTAAAATAATTGAATTCTAATAAAATGGATTTTGTATTTTTATTATGCTCTGCAATTTTTATGTGCCGTTGTACACATAGCTAATCTGAGTTCCCAAATTGCCCCAAGTGATAAGTATGGAAATTAACATTTCTCTTTTACACATGAAGAAACTAGAGGTCATAAAAACTGTGACTTTCCTGAGGGTACATGAGTTATAAGTAAAATTGGACTAGAGAATTAGTAATCGGGCCCGGTGCCGTGGCCTAGCGGCTAAAGTCCTCGCCTTGAACACACCAGGATCCCATATGGGTGCCGGTTCTAATCCCAGCAGCTCTACTTCCCATCCAGCTCCCTGCTTGTGGCCTGGGAAAGCAGTCGAGGACAGCCCAAAGCCTTGGGACCCTGCACCCACGTGGGATACCCGGAGGAAGTTCCTGGATGTTGGCTTTGGATCGGCATAGCATTGGCTGTTGCAGCTCACTTGGGGAGTGAATCATCAGACGGAGGATCTTTCTCTATCTCTCCTCCTCTCTGTATATCTGACTTTGTAATAAAAATGAATAAATCTTTAAAAAAAAGAATTAGTAATAATACTATGACACTGCTTCTTTGCTTGCTTCCAGAACATGTTGCATTGTACAAATTATTTCTGAAACCCCTTAAGTTATGCTTTGGTAACCTATGTTTTTTCAACTATTTCTATTATCCTGATATGAACAATTTAAAATATATGTAAGTAGCTAACCACTGAGTAGGAAATAATAAAATTCTATATTGCTTGAAGTCTATCAAAAAAGGGCTTTGAAAAATTTGACAAAGTTTAATGTCACTATATTCTTTGCCAAAGGTAACTTTTGAATTTGGACATGCATCTTGATATATCAATATTTGAATGGTTTTCTTAACATATTCTTCAAATGTTTGAGTTTAATGTTACTGCGCGATAGAAATGCTCTTGATCACTTCCTTGTCAAGCATGACATCAAGAAAATATAATACACTAAATATGTCTGTTTCATCTTAGAGTGTTATAAAATAGGACTAGCCAAATTAATAGCTATCTTGAAGTTCTTTGTTCCAATCCCAGCTCCTTTTCATACTGTTAAAAGTATCTTCTCATATTCAGGAGTGATATTCAAAATATTTAACAATGAGAATGGCCCAGTTAGCAGTCAGCCAGAACACATGCCCACTGGGCTTGTATGGGTGCATGCTGGTGGCACAGTAGTCCTGCTTGCAGTTGCATTATGTAACTGCTACCACTCACCTGGGTACTTTCACATCCATTCTCTCAGGTGACCCAGGGAGGCCTATGGGGTCATCCCTTTACAAACTGAGGAAATGGCAACCCAGACAAATTAAATATTGCATCCCCTAGTATGACTCTTTGATCAAGGTTCTTCCTTCGATAGAAGTTTCCTCTTTTCAGGGGAGCAGGTAGAGTTGGGAGTAGCTGTTTTTGATGGGACAAATGTCAGCTTCTTTCAGAGAAAATTCTGATGATGAGTAGAAGGTCCTAACTGGCACCTTTTGATCCTAAGCTGACTTCACTCCAGGGTCCTTTGCAGGGATGCCTGTCCTAGACAAGTCAAGGACAAGCCTAAGTCAAGTGAGCAGCTTTGGCCCAAGGGAAGAACTGACTCTACCTCTTTTCTCCATATTCACAGAAACATTGTACATATGCAAAACCTAATTTGAAAGACATTTTTTTAAACTACTTTTGTTTCTCCTCCTTCCACAGAATGGCCTCCCCTCGGAGAAAAACTCATATGTTTTTAATGGTGATTTTGTAGATCGAGGAAAAAATTCCATAGAGGTCCTAATGATTCTATTTGTGAGTTTTCTTGTCTACCCCAATGACCTGCACTTGAACCGAGGCAACCATGAAGATTTCATGATGAATATGAGGTAACCTAGGGCTTCCGATTCCCTCTTTGGTTTCCCTGCTCCTGAGATTGCTGCCATGTTTGATTTCTAGCATAGTTAGGGGTCTGGGTAGAGGAGGAAGGCTGAGGGGAATCTTAGGAAGGCCTTATTTCCTACCTTTGATCACAGGCCCTACTCTTCTAAGTAGCAATGGCTCTGAAGCCCTCCTCACTTTCCCACTAGATCTATTCTTGCTTCTTCCTTCCATTACATTCTTTCTCTTGTTCCCAGGCCCGCTCTTCACAGGTCAGCTTGTGTGTCAGGTCAGTATGTTAGGTCATATTTGGAGGTGTCAAGTTCCCTAAACAGACTTAGATGGAATTATTTTCTTGCTGCTCTTTGCCTTGCCTCAGATGTTTTCTCAGAAAACATACCATGTTTTACATGGGAATGTAATTGCATGGTAATTGCTCTGGCATAGTTGTTCATAAACATATTTGAGAACAGCTGTAGCATAGCATTTAAGCTGACTCACTGGAGATTTGAGGGATAAAAATTGGTTAAATGGTTTGAGAATTTTTGCTGAAAGGCACAGTAGTTGACAAATGTTCCTTTTCTCCTTTCTCTTCTTTTTCATGTCTAAGTTTATGAAAAACAAATCAGCTAGTTCTAGGGAAGGAGATGGTGTGACATATCTCTCACACTTGGTCCTCAGCTTTGGTATCTGGCCTGAGTGTAGAGTTTTAAGTCTAATTCTCAAGGTATATAAGAAAATTCTATGGCTATGAAAATAAAAATCCTACAACTATTTTTAGAGTCTCAATATGTATAATATAGCTCAATATTTTATTTGGGCATGTCTATTATCTTTTCATTTATTCAAGTAGCCAATCACTTATCTAGTATCTATAACAGTTAACAGAAGAGATATGATCCCTAACCTCATAAAGTTTTCATCTAGCGGGGAAGATACATGTTGAACAAGTTTTTAAAGTATAATGAGTTTTTTTTAAAATATTTGTTTAAAAAGGCAGAGAGGCCAGGAGGAATCTTCCATCTTCTGGCTCACTACACAAATGCCCTGGGCTGGGCTAAGCCAAAGCCAGGAACCAGGTAGTCCATCTGGGCATTGAAAACAGCAACTTAACCTGCTGTGTCATGGTGCCCACCTCAAGTATGGTGAGTTTGTGAAGAGGGTTCCAATCTTGTTTAAAGGCTGGCAGAGTTTGCCTATAGAAATATGGTGGCAGCCAAAGACTGCAAGATATCATTGAAGAACATCATAAAATGTGAGCTTTAAAATATTATAGTTATTTGGAGATGGGCAAAAGTGGCTACAAGAAATGTTTGAAGAGTTGAATGATGGGTTTTCATTTAAACCGGGTGGCAGCAATGGAGATATAAAGAAATAGGTCCATCTAGGAATTCAGGGAATCATGATTTAAGGCTCAGTAACTTGATATTGGAGACTTGAAAGAAGAAGAAATCAAGGATGACCTTCATCACATTCCTGGCTTGAGTTTGGGGATATTACAGCATCATTCATTGATATGGGGGACTTGGAAAGAAGAGAAAATTGGAATGAGGGAGAAGGATGGATTTCTTTTGCAGGCAGCTGATCTGAGGTATTATTAAGTATATGTGTGCAGAGATGATACATGAACTGTGGCCTGAGGTGTCATCCTGCGGTGTTGACATGAAGTAGTAACTGAAGCCGTGGCTAGGCACGGATGAAATTGCTAATGGAGAAAGTGAAGGGAGAAGATGGCCTGGGACAAAATTGGAAAGAACTCCAATGTTCAAGGCTATGCAGAGGAGAGGAACTTGCAAAGGAGATTCAGAACAGCTAGAAAGATAGCAGGAAGACCACGAGTTTATTGTCACAACATGTGAAGATAAGAAAAGCTGTTCAGAAAAGCAGAGTAATCACCTGCATTTAGTGTTTCAGAGCAACCAAGAAAGGTGAGATTATAGTGTCCTTTAGACTTAATCAAGGGACCTTTTGATGAACACAGGATAGAATTCATCTTGGAAAATGTAATCTTGTGCTGTAGTAGCCTAACATGACATGATTTTCATGTAAACGTGGGGCATGTTTTCTTCCTACTTTACCCTGTTGGGTGTTAAGGGCACATACTATTATTTAAATGCCAGGAAATTGAAAAAAATCCATCATTAAATTTCTCTGCTTCTGCTTTTACAGGTATTACAATTCCTTACCATTTTTATTAAAACCATTATATAATATTACTTATTTCATAGAAAGCATCAGAACCACATCATTATCTTCTAGGCTTTTCTTTGTCTTTATTCAGTCTTTTCTCTAATTATTTACTATGAAACATAGGAGAAATTCTGTCAGTGAAACGCCTTCTCCCACACAACTTCCCCCAGCCGCTGCAGCACAGTTTTCTGAATACTTGTAACATTTACACAACCTGTACCTTCCACATGTGTCCTAAGCTGTGTTTTGTGAAAACCTGTCTTCTTTCCTCAACTATACCACAAAGTTTTTGAAGGTAGGGACAATATCAGTGGTTGCTTTGTTCTTCCCCATCAGGCCTAGCAAAGACCTGAGTAAGTGATAGTTCCAGCTGTGTTCTTGGTACTTGGGAGAGTGGGATGTCAAGGGATCCTCTTCTGGCATGACTCATGCAAGTGGGAGTTCTCAACAATTGGCTGGATAGCTTCAATCTCTTTGTTTTTTCAGGTATGGCTTCACAAGAGAAGTTTTGCATAAATACAAGGTAAGACTGACTTATTTTATTTTATATTGAATTCTCTTTGCTGTTTATACATAAAAGCATAAATTTTTTTTAAAAAAGCAAAAGACAGTAAAGAATAGACTGGGGATTTAGGAAAAGTGATTGGCTAACTCATCAGAATCCATGCCAGTAAAATAAAGGTACAGCACAAGGCTCTGCCTATGGTGGAGGCTTTCTGAACTAATCTGAGCTTTCTCACTGTGACCTTTGTGTCAGTTTTGGCATATATACAAACATACTCCATTGCTTTCAAAGGACCCAGAATCTGTTTGACTTAAGTATGGCAAAACGTGTAGAAACAGAAATGACTCTTAAGAAGGAAGAGACCTTTTATTCACTGTTCCCTATAGACTGGAGGCTCTGTGTGTCACAATGGGGCAACTCCCTGGGGAAACACCAGAGGCCATCCATAGGCACAAACCTTCTTCATGACTTTCCTTGGATGGAAAGAAAAGTTGTCTGAGTTTAAGCTAGTTTAGAAATGACTAGTTTGTTAATCAGTTTAGCCTGCGCTAGGGCATAGGGCTGTTCATAGGGCATAGGGCCTCTACTAGGCCTTGGGGCTTAAGATCAAGGAATAGTAACCCTGAGGATCTGCCATCAGTTATGGGGTTCGTGGGGGGGATAGGTCTTATATTAGTTGGTTTGCATATGAAAGGCAAGTTATTTCCTATCTCTAGGAATTAGCTACCCTTGGGAGGGATGGTCTCTCCAGGAATGGCAAGGCTCCCCAAAACAAAGTATCAAAAAAATACCAAATAAAAAGATATGATGAACTCATACTAGTTGGTCAGGAACTCCGTGATGATTCCCTTGGGTGGCATGTTGCTTCTGGGCTGTACACAGGGACTATTCGATGAATAGAACCTGTCAGAAAGACAAAATTTACTCAAGCTCTTATTTACAGATACATGGGAAGCAAATCTTACAAATGTTGGAAGAAGTATATACCTGGCTTCCAATTGGTACCATCATTGACAATGAAGTCCTAGTTGTTCATGGAGGAATATCTGATTCCACAGACTTGAACTTGCTCCACCAGATACAAAGAAACAAAGTAAGAAGTAATGTTTGCATGAATTTTGTCGCAAATGTATAAAGGGACTATAGGACTCTTTTATTTCTTATTAGTTTGGTGGTATTTTATGGGTTATATTTGTGAAAAATACAAATTTTAAGAAAAATGTATGATTATGTGATAACTAAGTGGCTAACTTATACATAAGGAAAATATTTTTTTAAAAACTCATGCTGAAAGTGGAAAAATCAGGCTATGTTCACATCTCAGATAGTATTCATAAGAAAAAATCCTGGGCCTGGTGTGGTAGCTTATGGGTAAATCTTTGCCTTGCATCTGCCACAATCCATATGGGCACTGGTTTATGTCCTGGCTGCTCCACTTCCCTTCCAGCTCCCTGTTAATGACTTAGGAAAGTAGAGGATGATGGCCCAAAGCTTTGGGACCATGCAACTACATGGGAGATCCAGAAAAAGTTGCTGGTTCCTGGCTTTGGATCAGCTCAGCTCTGGCTGTTGCAACCACTTAGGGAGTGAACCAGTAGGTGAAACATTTTTCTATCTTTCTCTCTGTGTATATCTGTTTCCAATAAATATAAATGTATCTTTAAAAAAAAGGAAAAAAGAAAAATCATGATCTTTAAAAAATTTAGGTCTCCATTCATTCATTTATGTTGTAAAGTACATATAATACAGAATTTACCATTGTAACCATTTTAAGTGTATTTAAGTGGCACTAAGTGCATTCATATTGTCCTGTAGTCATCATGGCCATCACCTCCATTCATTTGAGAACTTTCATCTTCCTTATCTGAAATCCTATGTCCATTAACCAGGATACTCATCAATACATTAATTCCCCAGTTCTCCTTCCCTGATAACCACTATTCTAAGTCTACTTTCCGTCTGTGGATTTCAGTACTCTGTGACCTCAAGCAAGTGAAATCACACAGCAGCATATTTCTGAATTAATATAATTTCGTCTATTCTTCCAATGGCTCAGGTTCATTTTTGAAGTGTTTTTGCACTAAATAATCATATTAAATATCACAGAAGCATAGTCAGAACCTGCACAAAAGTTCTGGCAATGTGTTAACTTTTAAAGATCCCCACCTCTAGTCATGGGTTGCTTCGATAGGCCTTGCACGTTGACTGAAGGTGTCTTTTTTTTTTTTTTAAGATTTATTTATTTTTATTGTAAAGTCAGATATACAGAGAGGAGGAGAGACAGAGAGGAAAATCTTCCATCCAATGATTCACTCCTCAAGTGGCCACAATGGTTGGAGCTGAGCCAATCCAAAGCCAGGAGCCAGGAGCCTCTTCCAGGTCTCTCACATGGGTGCAGGATCCAAAGGCTTTGTCCATTCTTGACTGCTTTCCCAGGGAGCTATGGGAAGTGGGGGCTGCCAGGACATAAACCAGTGCCCATATGGGATCCCAGAGCATTCAAGGCCAGGACTTTAGCTGCTAGGCTACTGCACTGGACCCTGAAGGTGTCTTATTTCTGTACCAGAGCCAAGCAAGAAAGAGACCAGATTAAGAGCAAAAGGGGTGTTACATAGGAAACCTGAACTGTTACCCCTTAGGACTGATAATTCGCTTCCAACCGATCTGGGCAGATAGGAACTAGAATTGGAATTTAATTTTTAAGAGACAGAAATGTGACCCTTCTGCACCTTGAGATTTAGAGCCTTTATCCACGTAAGAATGATAATATTGTTCCTATTGTCTTCTCATCCTTTTAATTTCACCTTCAGTATATGGCCTTAGGTCTAACTCAGATTCCTTTTAATATGCTCGCCAACTCCTTGTACATAGCCTTCACAACAGGTTCCAAAATTAAATGAAGAATTATGTAACTGTTTGCTCCCTTGCCTTGCTTCTCTGGTTAATTATTATAAGCCCCAGCACCGTTGGCAGAGGTCTTTTTACAGCACCTTTTGCTGATTTTATCTACCTACCTTCCCCACCTCAGTCTATGTTCTGCCTGCTCATAGACTGACTTTAAAAAAAGCAATTTGATGTACGTATGGTTTGTGGGTTCTCCCTCTCCTAGAATGAAGATGAACCAGCCCTACACACATACTGAATATCACTAAACTGTAATGAAATAGGTCCAAGCTTTTGGAACTATCATATGAGATACAAGAACAGATTTTCAAGTCTGGTTTTATATATAACCCAGCTCTTTTATACCACAGGAATTTCTAGCTATAGGGGTGACAACACTAAATGGTTTACACCTGTACTTGTAGATAATTGTAAATGAGGTGGGGATAGAATTGGAGGAACTTGATAACAACTTCCATTTTAGGTCCAGTGAAGGCATTTTGTCAGGTGGGCAGGTCACATGTCAATCCAGCATGACAGAGAAGGAAGATTCCGGAAGAGTTAAAGTCAGCAAGGGGAATGGGGCAGAATAGCTAGTAGAACCACTACCACCCCTCCCCACCCCTGCTTCACAGGAGAAAATGGCAGCATAGTGCTTTGGTGAGAAGCATAATAGTTTGATGCTAAGTGATTCTGAAAACTGCAGAACTATGCATATGATAAAGACCCTATGGCTTTGCCCAGTGAGCTTATGAGAACTGAGTGACAGAGACACAAAGTAGGAGGGTCCTTTCAGAATATTCTGCTCTGCCAAAAAACACGAGATCAATTACTAGGAGGAGGCAGGAGGGACAGTCTGGGAACTTACTCATAATAGCGGAGATTGAAGTTTCAATCATCCCAATGAGACAGGAGCTCCAAAGGCATGGAGCTACAAAGAAACAATTATTAAATGGCAATCCTAGGTTGTGTAAGGGATTACACAGCAATTATAGCAGTTGATGTGATATCAGGAAGACATTTTCTTTTCCAAAGAAGCACAGTGGCATTGTAACTAGGAGTAAAGAACCTAGACTTTTGCTAGTGGAATCAGGTTGAGAACTACACCTCATTGAGAACTGTCCTAGACACAAATATACTTTTCGTTTCTGTTGAGAGATGCAGCAAAATGAATAGCAACCCCCCTTCTGTGAGGTGTTCCTGAGCTTCCCTAAGCCCTGCAGAGAGGCTCAGAAGGAGGTGTTGTCCTGCTCTTGGATTCTTCCAAGTTCCACACTAATGCCTCAGCACATGGCTAGCACTTCCCTCTGTAGCTTGAGGACCCCGGAAGCCTTTCCCTGTAGAGCAATGGCCACACTTGTACAACCAGAACTGAACAGCCACACCTTACTTGCATCAGTGAGTCCAGAAGATGGAGGCCGCGGGTGAGATGGGAATGGTACCGGTGGTTCTCACTGGGTTGAGGCACAACAATATAGACAGAATCCTATTGCCTTCTGATGTTTCTGTATTTTAGCATGGGGTGCAGGCAGTTTCACTAAATCATGATTTTATATTGTAGATGAAATCTGTGCTGATGCCACCAGGGCTTGTAGATGGAGACAATGCCTCCAACATGAAGAAAAGCAAATTAAGCGAAGCCTTTTCTGAACAATTATCAAAGCATGAATGGGAACAGGTAGGCAACCAGGGTGTTCACCAGAATCGTAATAAAGACAGTAGCATAGATGCTGCTGTTCCTTAGAATGTGTAGATAAAAACTGGCTTTACTGTGATTAGCAGACTGTCATTTTCTCTGGATTCTTTGCAATATTTCCAACACTTTGAGATACAATTATGCATAATTAAACTTGCCCACTTAAAGAGTATAGAAGCCAATGGTTTTTGGTATCTTCTCAATATTGTACAACTATTATCACAATCTAATTTTAGATCATTTTCATCATTGAAAAAGAAACTGCAAACCTATTAAGCAGTCACTCCCCAAACCCTTCCTGCCTCCACCCCCACGCTTAGGTAACTGCTCATCTAATTTCTGTGTTCATAGATGTACCTGTTCTGAGCATATTGTTCACATGGACATATACTGACTGTAATTGGCTTCTATGATCCAGCACATTGAGTTTCATTCATGCTATAGCTCATACTGATGCCTCATTTCTTCCTATTACTGTGTAATGCTTCATTATGTGGATGGGGAACATCCTCAGCCATAAATTAACGGGCATATAGGTTGTTTCTACTTTTTGGCTATTATGAATAATGCTAAGAAAATTAGCAAGTTTTTAGGTTCACATGCATTTTCATTTCTCTCGGGTATAAAGAGTGCAGTTGTGTTAAGTAACTCTAAATGTCATAAGGTAACTCTAAAATTTAACTTTATGAGAACCTTCCAAACTGATTTCCCAAATGGTTATATCATTTTATATTCACACTAGCAGTGTATGAGGGTTCCAACTTCTCTGCATTCTAAGAATTGTTATTGTGCATTCTTTTTTTATTTTAATCTACATTGTAGTTGAAAGGCACAAAGATCTTCCATCCTCTGATTAACCCCTTGAATGTCTACAACAGCTAGAGTTGAACCAGGCAAAACCCAGGAGCCTAAAATTCAATTCAGCTTTCCCATGTGGGCAGCATGGACTCAGGCATTTGAATTGTATTGTATTTGAATTTGAATTGTATTCCTGCTATCTCACAAAATGTATAATGGCAGGAAGCTGGAATTAGAAGTGGAGCTATGACTAGAGGCCAGGCACTCTGATACGGGACACTGGCATCCTCAGTGGTAGCTTAATCACTGAGCTAACTGCCCGCTCCATCTGTCCTTTTCATTATGGTCATCCTGGAGGACATGAAATACAATCTCATTGCAGTTTTAGTTTGCATTTGCAGAGCAACTAATGGAGTTGAATACTTTTTTGTATATTTTTTCTGGACATTTGTAGATCTTCTTTGGAGAAGTGTCTATTCATATCCTTTGCCCATTCAAAAAAAACTGAGTTATTATCCTTTCATTAGTATATTGTGGGAGTTTTATACATCCTGGATATTAAGTAAGTTACTGACAGATATTACTTGATATTAGATTTATCACTAGCAAATCCCTTATTAGATACATTACTGGCAAATGTTCCCTTTCATTCTGTGGGTAGTCTCTAGCCTTTCTTTTCATTCTTTCTTTCTTTCTTTCTTTCTTTCTTTCTTTCTTTCTTTCTTTCTTTCTTTCTTTCTCCCTTCCTTCCTTCCTTCCTTCCTTCCTTCCTTCCTTTCTTCCTTTCTTTTTTATTCTTTATTTTATGATACAGTTTAATAGGCACTGGGGTCTCCCCTCCCCCTTACTTTTCTCCCCTCCCTGCTGTGCCCCCCGCTCCAGTCTTGCCTTTCTTAATGGTGCCTTTACAGCATAATAGTTTTAATTTTAATGAAGTTTGATTTATATAATTTTCTCTTTGGCTGCTTGCTTGTCTTTTTGGTATTGTATCTGAACCATTACCCAACCCAATGTTTGGAAGGTTTATTATCATGTTTCTAAGAGTTTTGTAGGTTTAGTTGTTACACTTTGGTGTTTGATCCATTTTGAGTTATTTTTTGTGTGTAGTTTGAGGTACGATGCTGCAATCATTCTGTTTCACATGAACATCCAGTTATCCCAGAAACATTTGTTTAAAAAGACTAGGAAATCAATATTGAGTTTTTTATTTTAAATTATTTTATTGATGTAAGGTGAGAAAATTTAGGAACATAGTGATACTTACCACCCTTACCCACCCTCCTGCCCACATTCCCTACTCACCCCTTAGATTGAATTTTTGACACCCTTATCAAACATCAGTTGGCCATAAGTATGAGAACTTTTACTTATCTATTTAAATATTTATTTATTTTTTATTGGAAAGGCTGATTTACAGAGAGAAAGAGAGACAAAGATATTCTGTCCACTGATTCACTACCCAAGGGGCCAGAACAGCCAGAGCTTAGCTGATCTGAAGCCAGGAGCCAGGAGCTTCTTCCAGGTCTCCCATGTGAGTGCAGGGTCCCAAGGCCTTGGGCCAACCTCTACTGCTTTCCCAGGCTACAGACAGAGAGCTAAATGGGAAGTAGAACAGCTGGGATATGAACCAGTGCCCACTGAGCCATCACATCGTGCCCTCAATTTCTAATTTAATTGTGGTCAGAGAACATAGACTTTGCATGATTTAAATCCAGTGAACACTTTAAAAAATAAATCATGTGAACATTTATTGAGGTTTATCTTATAGCCTGGACACAAAACATTATGTCTATCCTAGCCATTGCTATATGTGCAGTTGAGAAGACTAAATATCTTGCTCTTGTTGGGTGAGGTTCCCTATAGGTGTCACTGAATACATTGCTAACTGTTGCTTTGAGATATTTGTTAGGCCAGTGCCTAGTTCCTTCTGAAGCAGCTTCCATTGCTCACTTGTTTGACCCTGTATACAGGCTTGCTTTTTCCTTTGCCTGTCTTGTACCTTTTTGTTGAATACTGGATATGTTCGATTGTAGCAGCTCTAGATGGCTGTCCCCATTGTTATTTGCTTTGGATTTAGTGACTTGTCTGGGCTGGCTCAGTCAATGTGTAGTCTGCTATCATTGCTGACTACCAGGGATAATTGTGGTTGCTGGGCTTCCTCTGATCATCTTTCCCTGATATCCACTGTAAGTGTCTGGGTTATCTATTGCTGTTTGTGTCAGACTCAGCTATTAGTCTTCACTAATTGCTCACCTCTTGCTCTATTATTTTTAACAAAGCCCTCTCAGCCATAATTTGCTCCATAGTCTAATGCAATTAAAGCTGAACTCGTTTGCAGGAGCAGGGTGTTAGCCATCCTTGAGGCTCAGTCTGACCTGTTAGAGGGTCCTTCTCAATCTCTTTCCTTGATTCTGACAGTTAAATTTTGAACTGGACTACTGTTGCTACTAATGGCAGGAAACCACTACCTTTCTCCTATTTACTTTTAAGATTTCTGTTTTACTTGTAAGATCCCTCCTGCTCTTTGCCAATAAAGCCAGTCCCTTTAGGCATAATCGTGGAGACCTCTGTTCTCCACCTGCCTCCCTCTCCCTGCACCCAGCCTCTGTGCCATTGCACTGGAGCTTGGAGCCAGAGCAGCAGCCCACTTCTCAGAATGACAGCTCTGTTCTACAGTAGAATGGTGGGCAATGATGCTAGCTCTGGGGCTCTCTGCTTACCATTCCTGGCCCAGCATCTTCTCCTTCTGAGTGAGCAGGGATGGAGACATTTGGGATGTGGTATTTGCAGCCTGCCATTCCTAAGGTGGAGAGTTCACCCTGTGTGTTGGGGAAGGGAGCCCCAGTTCTAGGTGCTGTGCTTGCCTGGAATCTACAATCTGTAACACAGAACTGGGTGAAGTAGAGGATGTTCATCACTTTAGCTCTTCAGCAGCAAAACCTCCTCTACTGTTTGCTTAGGAAAGAGGGACCTCTTTTTTTTTTTTCAGTAATACCTCCCCCCCTCAAAAAAAAACCCCTGTGTCTAATTGTTTTTGTTTTTAAAAGGTTTATTTATGTGGAAGACAAGTTAGAGAGACATATAGAGAGAGATTTTCCATCTACTTATTCACCCCTAAATTTTTGCAAAGGACAAGTCTGGGCCAGGCAAAGCCAGGAGCTTCATCTGTGTCTCCTACATGAATGCCTGGGCCCAGGGACTTGGGCCATCTTCACTGCTTTCCAAGGTGCACTAACAGGGAGCTAGATTCAAAGTGGAGCAGTTTTGATACAAACTAGAGCCTATATGGGGTTACCCACAGCACTGGTCCCTAGTAGAATTTCTTAAATAAACATTTCTCTATATGATGTATACCATTAGGACAACTTAAATTAAAAATGTATTTATTTGAAAACCAGAGAGACAAAAAAAAAAAACAGATTTCCCATCCGCTGGTTTACTCTGCAGATATCTGCAACAGCTAGAACTTAGCTAGCCAAAGCTAGGAGCCGGTCATGCAATCTGGATCTCCCTTGTGAGTAGCAGGGACTCAAAGACTTGGGCCATTTTTACTGCTTTCTCAAGTTCATTAGCAGGGAGCTGAATGTGAAGCAGAACTGGTACCCATATGGATTACTAGCATTGTGAGTGGCAGCTTTTAACCTACTGTACCACAATTCCAGTCCAGTCCCTACCTGGTTTTTTAAAAGATTTATTTAATTTTTTCTATTGCAAAGTCAGATATGCAGAGAGGAGGAGACACAGAGAGGAAGCTCTTCCATCCAATGATTCACTCCCCAAGTGACTGCAATGGCTGGTCTGTATTGATCTGAAGCCAGGAGCCAGGAACTTCCTCCAGGTCTCTCACACTGGTGCAGGGTCCCAAGGCTTTGGGCCATCCTCGACTGCTTTCCCAGGCCACAAACAGGCAGGGAGCAGGATGGGAAGTGGAGCTGCCAGGATTAGAACTGGTGCCCATATGAGATCCCAGCACGTTCAAGGCAAGGACTTTAGCCATTGGGCCACAGCACCGGGCCCTGTTTTTTTTTCCCCCTTAATTTTCACCAGTTAAATGCTTGTTTCACTGGGGAGGGGGTCTACTAAGCTCCTAGCAATGCCATTCCTGTTGTTACATTTTTATTTGGGGGGAATTTTAACACATTTCTGTAAAGATGGATCAAAGGCAAAAATAAGACATGTATTTA